AGAGGTCCCCGGTGCAGCCTCCTCCTCCTCAGAGGGGAGAGGTCCCCAGTGCAGCCTCCTCCTCAGAGGGCAGCTTCTAGTTGCTCGCCTCTTCCTGGATAGAGCCTCCTGCTCAGTCCTGAGTCAAGATGACAGGACATGAGTTCCCCATGAAGGAGTCTGAAGCTGTCCCCGCGGGACAGACGGCCACTCTCCCTGCACTTGTGGGGACTGGTGCAGCCAGTTTTTCCAACTAAGGGACTGTCGAATTCATGATTCACGTAGAGCTTGAAATGCCCACAGGACGGTCCTGACGGTGCACGTGTGGCAAAGTAGCCCATCTGGGCATCGCGGTCTCGCGTGCCCCTGCTCCTGGGGTTGCTGTTTATCTGTGAGAGGAGACGTTCAAAGACACTGAGACTTACCACCCAACACAAGCTCGGCTGTCAGCTCTGAGCCGGGTGTTTGCACTGACGTGCGACCGTGCCCAGTTAGTGGCCCAGCTCTGCAGACGTGCACTCCTGCGGAGCGGAGGCCGCCCTTGCTGTGATGTGGCTCTCGTGCTGACCGCCTCCCTCCTGGTTGGAACTGCTGAGGGCTTTCCAGGAGTCACCAAGGAAAGCCTTCTTTGCCCTGTACGGTGGGACATGTTCACCTGAGCCCTCTGTGTCCCTTTGCGGGGCCCACCTCTAGTGACCAGCTGACTCTCGTGTTCGTGCTGGATGACCCTGTGCCCCCCCAGCTGCGGCGGCCGTGAAGGGCGGACTCTGAAACAGTGTGTCCAGCCACTCTGCAGCCGCCCTGCTGTCCTGCCCGAGCCTGGCAGCGGCTGTGATGGCGGGAACCGAGGACAGCTGTCAGCAACCCTCCCTCTTCCTCCAGAGGAGATGAATCGCCCACAGGACCAGGAGCTGTCCCAGCCCCGCCTGGAAGTACACCCGGACCCCGTCAGCGCTTCTCAGAAGCCCATTTACGCCGGGATTTGTTTCTGTGTCTGTTTCAAGCAGCTCTCCTTAGCCACGCCTATCCTAACGGTTCAGATTGCCTTGCGAGCATGCGGCACCTTCCTCTTTAACTATTTGAGGCCACTTGCCCGTGACTCTCACCATGTGAGGTCACTGAAAATGCTCATTAGCTTTTGGACGTGTATGGTTTTGTGTCACTCAGAGCTAAGCACTGAGCGTGTGTTTCCCAGCACCGTGATGTCAAGTAACGCACGCGAGGCCTCGGGGCACCCTTCCAGGGCTGAGTCCGATCAGAAGGCAGGTGACAAAGGGAATGGGCCTCGCAGACATCGGCAGGAGGAGGAGCCTCCTCCCGGGTCTGAACTTGGCCGCTGGTGGTTGGGCCTTTCTTGTTTTTGAAAGTCTAGGTTTTCGGCTTGCTGTTGTTGTTTTTGTTATTGTGCTATTATTTGAACACAAAACTGCTTCAAAACTCTCTCTCACACACCCACACACCCACACACACAGAGTTTTTACTCTGGGGGTTCATTTTATGTATAGCTCTATTCAGGTTTTGGAGCTAAATTTAAAAGCACAGATGTAGACATAGAAAAAATGTAGCTCAAGCCATGATTCTTTCCTCAACAGTAGCAAGTGTGGAGATACTTCTGTGTGAGTGTGTGTGTGTGTGCCTGTGTGTGCATGTGTCTGCATGTGTCTGTGTGTGTG